CGTTAATGATGCATTTCCCCAGATTGCATGTCTCGATTATTTCGTTTCACTTCGTTTGGCTTGGGTTACCCACCGGAGCACGCACATACTTTCCGAGTTAATCTTGTATCTGGAATCCCGGCAGACACGCAATATTGAAGCCCTGCGGAAAGTCAACAGCAAGCGCGGATAAAATCTTCTTACTCACGTCATGAGTCGGAGTTTCCGTACCGTGATTCCTTTATCCTTATTTACCTTTAAGGAGATAGCAGCAGCGTGGTGGGAGGTGAAAAATTTGTACTTGGCATTTCAATTTGCTTTGCATATAATTATTATTGTATTACGCATACGCCCGCGTGAGCCACACTCACTCCCACATTGCGAATTATTCCTGCGTGCATGATACAACTTTCCCAACTTCAGTCGCCGGATTTCCATGTGAGTACACAGGGAAAAAATTTGCATAAATCCAGGACAAATATTTGCATTGCTCAGCTACCCCTCAGCTCTCCCCTTTATTCCTCAGCATTTAAGCCATTAATTTGCATTCATGAAATATTGCTGATATTGGTTTTAACTTCCGGCCAAAAATACGAGTATATGCCTTCAAGCATTAGAATTTGCAGTTGCTCTGCGTTTGCATTGTTTAATTATAAGAGACAGCAAAATCCTCATCCTCGTTCAAGTAGCTCGTGTGATTGCCATCGAAACGCTTGCTTTAAATCAAAAATATATCCGTGGAAAAACTCATCAATTCGTAGCCAATTTATTGGGCGTCATTTCTGAATATTCACCGAAAATTCCCGCCTGACCGAGTGAATTGACATCTGGGCTGGGCTGTCATTAATTTGCTTCGTTAATGTGAAAGCAAACAATGTGAAAATAGCGCGAAGTCATTATATTTTACATTGTAATTAAAATGATGCCACTCCATACACAAGAATTCTCGATAATGCTTATGCAGGACTCAATTTGTTGTTACATAATTACAAGAAATAACACCGCGGGCCATTCGAGTGCAAACAATGGCACAATTAAAATCATTAAAAGTACAATGTCAATGGGATTTGCACTAAAATCACTGGCGCTAATTAATGCAGCCCCATGGCTAAATACGGCATTATCGCCCAGATGATATCTTGCCGTCACTCACTTGGAAATTAGGCACATTTCCGCCTCATCCCATTTTGAAGTTACAATTGTGCTGCCGGTATCTCTTCCCAGAATCTTTGCTCCTGTCCGTGAAACGTATTCGGTGCTCAGTGAACACCGAGCTAATTGATTACAACAAATTCAATTCGCGTTTAATTAAATTAAAATTTTGATTTTATCGCAACTTTGCCCCGCAGCATATGTTAATACCCGCGGGGGCTGTGGTAGATTTTAAATGGAAATTTAAATGACATTCCAGGCAGAACGAAAGCGAATCTGCTGCCTGTTTGCAATTAGCCCACCTAATTAATGATCAGCTAGGCCGCAAGTACGTGCTTTACTAAAATTTGTGTGCTGCTAACGCATTAATTAAAGTTTCATAAGAGGCAAGCAGGAGCTGCGAGAAAGAAGGCCAAACAAGGACTGCTATTTAAATATTTATTCCAGTCATTTGTATTGTGGAGGAGACCGCGAGACCTGGAGACAGAAATTACCTTCAGCACACAAATTGCATTTGCGTGTCAACCGCAGTGCGCAAAAGGGGGCGGGAATGTCCTGGAGGCGCCCCAACTTTGAATGCGACTGTGTGAGTGAGTGAGTGAGTCTCTGGAACATGCGAAGCGTGCGTAAGTCGGCAACATGTAAACGCGTATTAATTAAGCCAAAACAAAGCGCCGCCGCTCAAGAACCAGACGAAATGCGAAGACGACGACGACGACGACGACGGCGGCGGCGACGAGGACATGCAAAAGGAGTGGCACGTGGGCGGCGATGGCTATGGCAGGGGGCGTGGCAAGCCGTCCTGCGAGTCAAGAGCTCACTCGCTGCCATTTCCCCCTGTCAAGGACTCAATGTGTCCATAGGAAATGGAAATGCCCTTATAATACGCCAGACGTGGTACATTTAATTTCTTTCTTTTTGTGTGTGCGGCTTTCTTTGACGATTCTTTTGATTCCAGTTATACATTTTATACATTTTAATTACAACCACCTCACACATAACTCGCCCATCTCGCTGCAGTAAACAGGCGTTTTATTTAAATAGTCCCTTAATGAACAATGCCCACCAGGTGAACAGCTCTCGAAGTTATCGGGCTGCAGGCGACACTTTCCGCCATTGTCTCACCTGTCACCACCAAGTGGTCCGAGCTGTCAGTCGATTTGGAAACAAAACCCATTTTCGGATTATGCAGTGTGCTTGTCAGGAAAACAAAACTCACTGTGGAAAGCAATTCACGTAGTGGCGAAGCGCTCGGGGAGAGCTTTGCGTGCATTTTTTCTGGCGGCGTGCGAAAAAACGCAATTTTAGAATATATATTTACTATTGTAAAAACGGATACTCAATTTTATACTCTTGCGGAGGACCAATTAATTAATTATCCAATTAAGTCTTTTGCGAGTCACTTCGTAATCAGTATCAACACCCAAGTCCATTTAGCCATGTCCGTCTGTGCGTCCGATTCTATCGAGTAGTTTTTCTCATGTAGGAACACACTTTAAATACTCGATTGCCAGAGTTCAAATAATATAGATTTATTTGTTTAGGGAACATATTTTCTTGTAGCCCTATAATTCCCAACTAGTTCTAGTGAAGACTGTAAGGCATGTCTTCTAACTACCGGTCTCTTACCGGTCGAGCAGTGAGTGTAGTGTATGTGTAGTGTATGTACCGGTGTATGTATGTATGTATGTATGTATGTATGTATGTATGTATGTATGTATGTATGTATGCATGTATGTATGTATGTATGTATGTATGTATGTATGTATGTATGTATGTATGTATGTATGTATGTATGTATGTATGTATGTATGTATGTATGTATGTATGTATGTATGTATGTATGTATGTATGTATGTATGTATGTATGTATGTATGTATGTATGTATGTATGTGTGTGTGTGTCTTTGATGAAACCTTCCAAAAGTCTTTTTTTATTGAAGGTGTATTATAAATCCGCATCGGAGCACTTTATCATAACACTCATGTGAACAGTAGGAAAATGAAATTATAATAATAAGAAAGAAATCACTGTATCGTTGTTTTCAGTCATAAAATGTTCTTATTCGTTATAAAAAATATGTTCCTTTTTATACCCGTTACTCGTAGTGTAGATTCGTTGAAAATCATGTACAGGGAACTATAAAAGCTAGAAAATTTAGATTAAGCAGGCAGATTACATAGAATTTTAAGTTTGCTTCCAAATGTTGCCAGGAATGCCACGCCCACGCTTTTGAAAAAACCTGATATTTTCAATTTTTTTATTAGTCTTGTAAATTTTAGGCCCAAGCAACAACAGTCAACATACAGTTTACAGTCGACGATTTTCGGCTAAGTGCATCTAAAAGTGCGAGAACGGTTTTCGTGCCCACTTTAATTCCAATTTGTGTTAATTTCGGCGACGAAACTCGCTTAAACAACCACTTGATTCGGCCAGCTGCCACTTCATCGGTCATTATGGTCAGCCATAAACAAATCAGCAAACAAAGTGGCAGCCACCTGCCACCTTCCGATGGCCACGTCGCCACTTTGCACACCCACTTTTCGCACAAATGCCACATTGGGCGCCGCAAAAGTTGCGCCCCCAAGAAAAAGCAATCGGAAAGAAGGGGCGGGCGAAGAAAGCGAAGGGAAACAAAGGAAAGAGCGAAGGAAAATCTTTCATTATCATGTCACGTCAATCGAAAAGAAATCTAATGACTGCACATGATTTCTATCTCAAATAGGTTGGACAAGAGTCCTGGCAAGGGGCAGAGCAAGCCGTGAAATCGCCCTACATACACACTGGACTCCCCCACACATGCCACGTTGAAGTGGTTGAAAAGTTTGCGGCCAAACGATTATTATGCATTAGCCATGCTTAAACGGTTAAATCAACTGTAAATCCCTCTGCCCACAATAAGGTCTTTGGGGGCAGCCTTCGATGGGCGGTCAACTGCACAAGTCAAGTGTGAACTGTGTGTGGATGAGTGTGATTTGATAAATCACTGCGATATAACGAGGCTTGAGGTATCTGAAACTAAGATACCATGATGGACACGCGTTTCCAGTTGATTAGGAAGTACGGTTCGGGGCTCACTTTTATAAGGACTTTAGGGTTAGGGCGCACAAACCGCCCAAAACTGTTGCTCCCACACTTTTGAACATTCCGTTGCATTTTATTTTATATTTTTTTTTTTTGCAATTTCTACCGTTTTTACAGAACATGTTAACAATTTTCATTCGCACTTCCACTAGCTGAGCAACGGGTATCTAATAGTCGAGGAGCTCGACTATAGCGTTCTCAGCTGGTTTTTTTTAAGGGATCGAACTTAATAGGCTTTTCAAAACGGGTTAGGTTTCCTCTAAACATTTAAATCTATATAGTTTCTTATATTCAGGAGTATCTAATAGTCGAGGAGCTCGACTATAGCGTTCTCTCTTGCTTTTTTTTTTAAAGTGATCGAACTTAACAGGCTTTTCGAAACGGGTTAAGTTTCCTCTAAATATTTAAATCTATATCGTTTCTGATATTTAGAAGTATCTAATACTCGAGGAGCTCGACTATAGCGTTCTCTGTTGTTTTTTTTTTTAAGGGATCGAACTTAATAGGCTTTTCAAAACGGGTTAAGTTTCCAGTAAATATTTAAATCTACAACGTTTCTAATATTTAGGAGTATCTAATAGTCGAGGAGCTCGACTATAGCGTTCTCTGTTGCTTTTTTTTTTTTGAGGGGATCGAACTTAATAAGCTTTTCAAAACGGGTTAAGTTTCCTCTAAACATTTAAATCTATACAGTTTCTTATATTCAGGAGTATCTAATAGTCGAGTAGCTCGACTATAGCGTTCTCTGTTGCTTTTTTTTTTTAAGGGATCGAACTTAATAGGCTTTTCAAAACGGGTTAAGTTTCCTGTAAATATTTAAATCATATAGTTTCTGATATTTAGGAGTTTAGTGATGTACAAGTAAGTACCACCAAAATTGCAATAGTGTTTATTGTTATTGCTAATACCCATATTTCCGTTTTCATTCACAGCAGGCACACGACGTAGGTATCGATAGTAAGTACTGCAGATCTTAGTACTTTAATATACTCTTTTTTAAACAGTATCAGCCTTGAGGAAGCAGTTCAATATATTTATAAGTATCCTCTGCTGCCGACTCCACTAATTGATTATGGATTTATCTGCAATCTGGTTTGCAAGAAACCCCGGGATGTCAGTGTACCGTTGATCTCGGAAATTGAGTCGGAGTCCAAGTACAAGGATAGTGCTCCCGAGAAGCCGAAGAAGGTGCCCAGGCTTTCATACCATTCCCGATCGAGTTCAATGAGTGAAGATGAACCGGAACCGGAAGTGCAAGTAAAATACCGTTGGAACTCGCCGCGGCTGATGATTCTCTGCGAAGATGGAGACATCAATTGCGCCATGCACTATCTCGTCGAGTCCCTTCACGATCCCTTTGCCTGCAATGCGGTGGCCACTCTATTCCTGCAGGAATCGATTCTGGAGGAGTTTGTGGATCGAGTTAAGGATCGCATGGAACCGTTGAGCGCGGATATCTCTGGGCATCCGGTTTATATAAAGACACTGGAGAGACTAAGCCACTTACAGGCGAAAACAATAGTGGGAAATCCCAAGACTGTTCCAGAGAATGCTAGTCCCGTGCTGGTTTACGACCTGACCCATCGCTACTTGGCCGATGGACCCACCGGTGTCATAACCTTGCACACCTTTCGAACCATGAAGGAGGTAGTTGAGCTGCAGGCCAAGGAACCCCTTACTTTTACCTCCGTGAGCATTTGGAACGAAAAGTTAGCCGCCGCCTACGAACTGGTGGCCCGATTCACTCCGCTGATCTTTACGATTAATTGCTACTACGTAAATCTAAACGAAATCAGCCTGCCCTTCATTTGCAACTTCAACTCCGCTAAGATCATCGACGGCTACCACTACGAGTCGTTGACCTTTAGGGGAAAGCGCAAAGTGGTTGTGCATCCCGTTGGCACCATCTGGGCGAAGTTGGCCCGCGAGGCACTCGTCCAGTACTGAGTCTCCCAGCGGGGAACGTACTCCAACTTCTTTTGGCAGCCAATTTAAATTACTAGTCATTGATCTGGGGGCCCTGACTAATTGACTTTCCGGCTGGGCAACTCAATTATCAATGTCATTGCTTCAAAACGTCTGGCCGTCCTAAGAGTTTTGGTCTATACTTTTCCGGGGAAACTCAGCAGGCCTTTTCCCCGAGCATGATCAATGGAAATTATGAGTGACTTTGTATGGCGATATTAAAAATTCTTTCTGCGAAGTAATTCACCCAACGTGCCAATAATTTCAAAAATTAACTTTGCCCCATTGCCTTCCCCGATTACCCCGACTCCCCCGCTCTCCACAAGCGCAGAGCAGCGGCAACAAAGGCGGTTCGTGTTGGCAACAAAATGTTGAGGCCGCCAGGTGAGTGGGTGGTTGGATGGCGGGCGGAATTCGGAAAATGCCATAATTACTCCACTTGCTCGCTGCTCAGGGAGGAAAGTGCGGGGAGTGGTGGTAAGGAGGGGCAACTGGGCGGTCATATTAGTGGCACATTTCGGCTTGTTGGTTGGCCAAATAATACGGGAGTGACTTTGGCCAGCGGGGGCCGGGCAACTTTATAATGTACTTCCGTTTGCTTTCATTCACATGGCAGTGGAATATCAAAATATTTGACATTTGCATAAATAACACGGGCAACGACGCAGATCCCGGGCAAGTTGAAAGGCAAATAAGGCTCCAATTTTTCGCCCTTCCCCAAGCCGCACACATATCATGCCTGGAATTGGGCAAATTTAAAAAACCAGCGCATGCCAAGAGGCATGGCATGGCAGCGGAGCGAAATATGCTGCGCCGGCAGCGAAAACAAAACCGTGGAATTTCTGCCCACCAGAGTCGGGAGTCCTGGGTGGGTCCGGCGGTTGTGGGCAAATAAGATTTGCGTGGAATCCAGCTGAATTCTGCTGGCTACCAGGACTCCGACCCGCCGTGGTTCAGTATAGCATGTCGGCAAGCAGGGCCCGCTCACTAAATAAACAAATTCATAAACAAACAAGTGCGAAAATATGGGGCTTTACTTGGACCCCCGTCCGATACCCTGATGGAGCCATTCAAACGAATTGTGTAATATAGGCATGCTAAATATGAAATACGTGGGGCCATCTTAACGTGAAAAAAGTGCTAACTAAAGAAGATAAACAGCTAGTGTTATATGAAATTGATGCAACATATTTGGGGAAAATGGCATACAATTTTCATGATGCCCACATTTTTATTAATACACCTCAGTTTCCAGTTTTACACTACCCCATGTAAGGGCATATCGAAAAGCAGCGGAAAAAAGCAAATATGGAAAGCCCCCAGCGCGAAATGAAGTTCATTCATCCAGCGAATGGGCAAAAATTAGAAGCGGCTGCATGCAAATTGGCAATTAGGAAATCCTTTATTTTTATGAATTTTTCGCCAGAGTGCCGATTTCATTTTCTTCATGTTGGCTTGGCTCGCTGCTCCGGTTGGGCTGGAAATGCAAATAAGTGACTCCACCTCCGCCTTTACGTCCAGCACATCTCAGGGCGTTGAAGCCCCATTTAGGGCTTTTACTCGAAGGTTGGAGTGGGTCGGAGTTCCATTTTTCACGCTTTTATTTGGCATTTTATTTTGGTAACGTATTTAATTTCGTTGCAGGCTTTTGCCGGATAATGTGGAAATGTTTAGGAGTGGAAATGTATTCCGTTGAGTGGAAGCTTAGCCTGGGCAACTTGTGATGTGCACAGTTTAAATGTATTATTATGGTCGAGTTCCGAGTGGTGTTTTTATATCATGATCTTTGTGAGCAGCGGCAACTTCAACGGAATTGCTGCAATCAGAGATTTAATGAGTTTCTAAGAGGCTCGCTGTTTTTCCTGCTCATATATCGCAATGGTTTTCTCGCTTTGACTTCGCCAAAACAATAACAGACTGACTGACCAGGATCGAATGCGGATATCTCTTGAAAAATAAATCCACAAGCAATAAATTTCGGCATGCGGTTGGCCTGGAAACCGTTCAGTTCAACCGTTCAGTTCAATTCCATTCGAACCTCGTCCATTGGTAATTGCAAAGGTGAGAGCCACAAAAGGGAAAAAATCCAAGCGCGAACCCAAGTACAAAACATAACAAAGAAAAACTGGAAAACCCAGCGAGGGCAAAGTGGAAATCTCGGTTAAGTTGAAAGATTACATCCTGTGTGGCAGGACGTGGGCTGCCCAGCCCTAACTGAAAGTCAATTCCCAAATCAGCACAGCCAAATGACTGCGAAAGTAGCTTATTTCAATCGAACATTTTGCGGGGCTGTGTTTAAACTGCTCAAATCCTTTTATTTTAACGACTTTAAACTTTTCTATTGTCCGCCCGCCTTCCACTTCTGCTCCTCTGCTCCTCTGCTCCTTTGCTCCTTTTTGGCCCGATTGTTTGGCATTGTTTCATGCAAGTTTGATTTTCAAATCAACTGCAGGTTGCCCCATCCTCGTGCCCGCCTTCGCCCCACCCTAATCCTGCCCCTTGTCCCCACTTGTCGTTGTTTTGGCTGTTGTTGCTGTTTCGCCCCATTCAGTTGTCAAAATAAAAACCTGGCAACCTGTTGCTACGGAGGATTACTCGTGCGTTGAATGCCCCCTCTCGAAAGTCTCGCCCGCCCCTCCTTCCCCCGCAGCAGGCGTAGAGGAAAAGTTTCGCTTTGATATTTGATTTCTCTGCTGGCCTGCAGTGGCAGAAATCACCCAAACGGAAAAAGGTTCAAATTACCGCGAGTTTTTAGCCGTTTTCAGTCGCCAACATTTTCGTCCTCAGTTCTGTTCTGTTGTGACGTTTTTCGTTTTCGTTTTCGTGTTGTTTAGTGTTGTGTGCACTCTACTTTTCGGCTTTGACTTTTATGCCATGCTGGTCTAAGTTTCGACCCAATCAGGTCGTGCAGGACTCTAAGCCACTCGGCGGTGAAGTGGGGAATGGAAGTCCTGGCAAATATGTCAGCGGGACGCACACATGAGAAAAAATCACAAGGTACGCACCCGTTTTAAAAGGATTTGGGACATTGGCGTATTATGTGATTAATGGAAATAATAATTTCCTGAATGCTGGATTATGCTATTTAATAGGAAAGAAAGTTCTGCAACAGAGAGTTTTTGCCCTAATAATTCCCAAAAAACATAATTTCCTTTTTGCACTGCTTTAAACATTAAATGTGATGTAAAAAGCGTTCTTTTCACAAATTTTGTTTTAAAACCAGCGCGCCTCTTTAACATGCGTTGAAAATCGATTTAATTAATTTGAGATACGTTGGGGCTGATTAAATATTTACGGAGCCGACGTATTTATGCATGTCGAATGTCGAGTGACTGCCAGCCCCCTTTGAGGAATCCTGGGTATCCTGGGGATCTTGTTGTTGGCCGTATCGCCTGACAGCCATTAGGAATATTGATTTCCATATCGCCACATTAACCAGCGTCAGAAGGCAACAAAAAGTCGCATTCCCGAGCTGCAAAAAGTGAAAATACACGCAGGATAGCAACGCACATACACACATCCAAATGCGCTGACGTAATGTGAAAATTATGCGGCGTAATTTGCGCCATCAGAAGGAAACGGAAAGGCGGAAGACGACGCACTCAAACAAACAGTGGCGGTGGAAGGCAAGGGAAGTGGGTGGTGGGTGGTGGGTAGCGGGACAAGGACAGGGCGTCGGGAAAAAGGAAGGAAAACACACGCAGGATATTCCGAAGAAGAAGCAGATATAGGCGGGCAAGCAGACACATTTACATACATATGCATTGCTGTGGACATGAAAAATTGGAACACTTTAGCAGTCAAAGCTGATTCCCAGTTCCTATCTCCCGGCCCCAAAAGTGTCCCTGTTGCTGCTGCCCTTGTTGTTTTTCGGCACTTTTTCCCCATCATCCTCTTCATCGCACTTTTTTGCTCGAAGCCCGAAAGGAAGTTGTAAAAATAAAACATGGCACGTCCACAAGTCCCCCAGGAGCTCTCGATACGATTAGTTCCGACATAGGAATACCCACTGTAATATTAAAAAAACAATAAAAACCCACTGTGTTATTGGAAATAAACAAAAAATATTTCCTGCTCTGTTGCGTAACATAGTCGAAATAATTCTCCACATTCTAAAAACTAAAGTGTGCAAACGTGTGAGGCTGAAAACAACACATAACTCTACAGGCTTAGAAAACCAATCCAGATAGACAGACTTCGCTCCTGGGAAGTGCGGCTCCCAAGCACCGAAAGCAGCACATCCTTCCCTGTTCCACGTAAAACAAAAAGGTAGGAGAGCAAATAGGGGAGGGACCATCCCTCAGGCGAAGAAAAATAACTACAAGAAAATTTGTGGTCGCTGAAGAATGTGGCGAGCTAAACCCAACGAGAGGAGCTCAAATTTGCGGGCGCTAAACGTGGCATGTGGCGAACTCAGCATCAGCATCCCAGGATCCCAGTTGCCAGCATCCAGCATCCCATCTTCCCTATTTCCTGCTCCTACGGCATCCACAGCCAAGCCGAGTGGGTAAATGCTGCGAAATAAATTTGTGTCGCTTGCAGCGTTGGCAAAAAGAAATGGAAATAAAAATGTGTAACAACGGCAAGAACAAGCAAAGCCTCATAAATGTTTACACCTTGTCTGGGTGGAAAATCAGGCTCTGGTGGTTGGTTGGTGGCAGGAGGTGGGTGGTGGTGGTGGTGGTGGTGGTGGGTGGCTGCCGCACGCACAAAACGTGTCAATGACGCAGGTGGAAGGGGGTGGTGTGCCGCTGATAAACGTCGTTCTAATAATGATAATGGCTGACGTTGCATCCTGTTGCACAGTGGAGCGGAAAGGTGCGACTTCCAAGGAGCTAATGAACTCTGTGTGGCCTGCTTTGCGCCACAGTGAACTACACTTCCTGTTCTGTCCAGCTCCAATAATGCGCTATAATTACAGATACGGTCATCTAAATTATATTACCTTTTAATTCAATAGATTACACCAGCGATTAAGGACAGCGTGAATTCCAATTCCGTGAATACCCTCAATTCATTCTTATATATGGTCTTAACCATTTGATTATCAAATCTGGTAACTCTGCTATTAAACGAGCCAAAAAAGTGAGTGCAATTTATTTTTGGATTAATTTGCACTCGTAAAAAGTAAGACAGATGATTTTTAAACGCCGGCAATTCGAAATTCAGCAAATTAAATACTTGTCAATTTTTTGTCTTTTTAGAACGGTGCCAGCTAAATAAAATATAGAATATGTGAAAA